TACACCATATATTTCCTGCTGACACTTTAGTCAGTGTAGACGGTTTTTTGTCTTACTGCTTCTCCAACCCAGCGCATTTTCGTGTCCTGCAAATAATGTCACCAGCGTCGCTGTGTCTGTGTACCGCTCTGTTCCTTGTGTTCCCTCTTGCCGTTGCACTTGCAATAAGCTTAAAGTAAATGTTTAATAATTAGTGTTTTGCCTCACTGGTTTCAAGTGAATCCATTTTAATATAGAGATTATTACTTTATTACTTAATTTCATCCATTATTAGCTGGCCTGTGCTCAATTCTCTAGTCAGGCTATTTCAGTAGCAGGAGTAATGGATTAGGTGTACATCTTTTCATGGGTGCGGATTCAGGTTGTTTTTCTGCCCTCAGGGTGACAATTGCCTATGCTATTCAGAAATAAGTACAGAGAAAATCATTTTATTATTTAAAACAGGAAAATTTGACAGATAAGCCTTTATCTAAAGTATAAAAGTACTATATTTAGGAATTCAATTCAATTTTATTTGTATTAGCGCCAATTCATAACAGTTATCTCGGGACACTTTCAATAGACAGCGTCTAGGACCGCAACTCTGTATAACATACAAGACCCAACAGCTACCACCATTTGACGCAAGACCTTGGCGGACAAGGGCCAAGGAAAAACTGCCTTTTAACAGGCAGGAAACCTCGGACAGCACCTTCGACTCTAGCGGGTTCGTCATCTGTCTTGACCAGTTGGGGTGGAGGAGAGAGAGCAGAGAGACAGACAGACAGACAGACGCACGCAACAACAGTAGCAACAACTACATCTAATTTAGTAGTGACTGATGATGCATGCAACATGGAAGAAAGACAACGACGACAACAACATCAACGATTGGGGACAACGACAGCGACAACCAGCAACAAAACAGTAACTGCTGGCAAAGATGTCTCCCTGTTTCTCATTTTAGCCTTGCTAGCGGCACACGCTAACCACATTCAGGTTCCCAGAGGATGAAGTTTACTAACTTCGCGCTGTTCTCTGCACTTTTTCCTGTAGTCCACCACGAGGGGCGACATTTTGCGGTTTTGCAGTGAAATCCAGGACATTCATGTTCCCTATGGAGGACAAATAACAATAATAACTTTGGCAACCCGCTTGGACTTTTTATCTAGTGCAGTCAAGTCCAGGCTAACAGTTTTCAGTCTCATTCAATACTTTATGACACACAATACCAAGAACTAATGACTAACTCTTGTTAGTGTCTGTTAGCCTTAATGTTAGCATGCTAAAATACTAAACTAGGGCGGTGGAACATGCATAAAAACATTTCACCAGCTAAACAGCAGCATTGTAGCATTATTATTCATTCATATGTTTGAAGTGGCTTTTAAAAACTTCCCCCCCATGTTACACATTGTCTGAAAAATTCAAGTTACTGTCAATTTCCAGTTGGTGCACTCACTAGTCTAATGCCTCTGTTAAAAAGTACTTCTATTTTTAACAGCCAATGCTCTTCCTTTCCTATCACTTCTTCTGCTGCTGCTCTTTTGATCACAGCCGTGTTTCCATTAACCTTCTTTTTCGCATTTTGGGAGTATCTGCATTAAATAAGTTTTAATGGGGAAAACAGGTAAAATTCTAAAAAAAAACTCTCAAACTCTCTTCAAAAAGGAGTAAATGTCCAGTGATTTCCAGGATTTAGTAGCCATCTGCAGGTGTAGTTTTAAGATTGCCAACTCCCTGGCTTCACCCTCCTCTTCGCAAGTGCAAAAGAAAAACTATAAACACGCCGAAGAACAGCATTCATCGCAAGCTGTCAATCTTACTATCTATAAAGCAAGAAATCTCTGTCTGTCTGTGGTGTGCAAAAAAAAAAATGTCGGCTTTGTTTTGACTACAACATACCGCTTACATAAATTAATTTCATAAGATGATTTTCCGAATTTCCACTAGCATTGCCAAACGAAGCCACCATAGCCACGGTGCCGCAACAGGGCCAATCCACTGCAGAGCCGTTGGTTGAATCCCAGTTGTCTCCCCCTGTCAATCTAAACCCGCGGACACGGGCACTGCACTAGTAAACTTAAATCACGGTTCCTTCACAGATATTTCAACTTAAAAGTCTGCCAGCAGCTTAAATGGCATAATTCCTTCCTTTCATGGTTAAAGCATAACATTGATCAAAAGAATGGCAAAGCAGAGGCGACTGGATATAATCAGCATTTGTGTTATAAATAAAGTGTGGTGAGTATGACTCACTCATGACTGTTGATTCATTGATGGGATTTGTACTGTGGAAATGTAAATTATGCTAAATTTACCATGTTAGCCCTTATTGTACAGCTAAGTCCCCTCACTGTTTTTACCCAGCTGATATTATATATGTGTTCACCCATGCCCCTTGCTATTATCGGTTGGAATACTACAGTATTTGAGGGTTAGCTTAGCATTGCTGTGCAGCTTTCAATGCCGAGATTAATCCTGCTAGTGATCATTCAGCCACACTCCTCAAGGTAGTGTTGTATCTAGCTTTCACCGTGGCCTTCACAATAAGTGGTTACGATTGCACTCGGAGCGAAAACAGATCATAGAGCAGTGTAATTCAATCGATGAGATATCAAGCATCTCTTTGTCCTCATAAGACTTCACTCAGCTGTACTGGGAAGACTGCATCAGCCTGCTGTTATGTAATCATGTTAGCATTAAAGCTTAAGTGAGTTTGGATGTAGGGAGGGAACTTTTCTCTCTCTCTCTCTCTCTCTCTCTCTCTCTCAGGGGACAAAATGAAAAAGGCAAAATAGAAACAAAAAGGGCATGAAGGAAAGACATGAAGTAAAAATATAAAAATAACATGACAGGTGACAGACGGAGAGACAGAAGAATTAAAGAGAAGAAGAGTCTGGCAGCTGGGAGAAGACAGATAAATAAGTACAAAAAAGCAAGGACAGTAAGTGGTAGAGAGCGAGAGGGGTGGTGCAAGGTAGACCGGAGCATGACAAGGTTTATTGTGATGACAGAGATCATGTCACCGGGGGAAGGAACTACACATGCACAGACAGACAGACAGACAGACAGAGAGGGAGGGAGGGAGGGAGCCAGGGAGGTGTTGGGGGAGGCTGGACTAGAGCAACTAGAAGGGAGGGAGGGGAGAGAGGGAAATAAACAGAGTAGCCGTTCCTCCCAGCAGCAAGTCTGAGGCGGAGAGCTACTGTTGCCTCAGATATCTCAGCTGATAGCAGCAGCTCCAGGTTCTGCTCCACTCTACTGTACTTCACCGGCACCGACTTAAGCTCTCGGGTCACTGAGAGGTTGGTGGCAGGGGATTTAAGGACCTCCCCTTAGAGGTTTATAGAAAGCTGCCGGTAGCTACATTCAGACTCGTCCACTGTTAAGGAAGGGGAACTATCCTGATACCAACCAACCGGAGAAACAGCAGTCAGATCACTTGTAAACAAAGCTGAATGGGACACGTGTACTAGACTGCTGAGAGGCTGCAACAGCAGAAAGAGTTCTTCTTGTGACACTCCTACAAAGAGAGCAACATGCATATATTACAGCCGTACTGCATCAACAGGTTGGTGCGTTTGTGTGAATATATTTGTCCATGTATGAGTGTTGAAAGTGGGTGTGTGCAGTTTCTCCCATACCGCATGTTCAGAGGAGATAAAGTAAGAAGTGTGTGTTGAGAGCAGTTAAGGAGGGCTCGCCTCTGTTTGTCCGCTGTGTTATTGTTGGTGCTGTTTTTAGTCCACAAATTGGATTTCCAAATGATTATCACATTAAAATACTCATATCTAATAGAATGCCGTCTATTGTCAAATCTAACAAATCACCCCCCCCTCCATGTGATTCTTGAAGTATGTTTAATTAACTAATTTGTTGCTATCATTCTTTTTGCTAAAGTAATTAGTAGGGAAACTTCCTCAAAGAAGTACATTATGTTCGTTTGGTGAGGTTTGTGAAAGGGAACATAGTCCCTTCTCAGTTGAGGAGGAGGGTGTGTAGCCTGACAATCAGCTGATGGTAATTTGTTCATTGTGAGGGGTGTGATATCAGTTGTAAATGTATGTTAGAGATTCTATAAACCATGATAATTGAACAATGAAGCTTTTGTCAACACTGCCACCCCTCCACAGCATCTTCCGGCTTATGATCTTTCAGCTGATGCCTTCAGAACAGAGCCACAGAGTGTCTGTCTTTGCAGCATTTGTTGCAACTGTATAACTACGAGTTCCCAGGATGGTGTATTTAAACTATTTGTCAGGTTTTTATGTAACTATAGCATCATTCAAAGCTTTGTAGCAGCATTGCGTTGCTGTCTGCCACAATATTTTGTTTAATGCTACAAATGGATGCCAAAGTTTGACATTATCAAAGTGTCTGTAAGCGGCATTAACGAATATTTTTAGTGACAACAATGGATCAAATAACTGTGTGTTAATCGGTTCTAACATAAGCGCCTAACATCAACATGTGACTGACTAGGTTATACAGTAGTAATTCTGGAATAATTAAAAAGTCAGCCGGAGACAGTGTTTTCAACCAGCTCCTGAAAAATCTGCAATTGTTATTATTTTAAACTGCCTGTGCTGTGCAAAAACAGAAAGCTTGACAAGCAATGGTTAACTATCTGCAGAGCGCTTCAGCCTGTTTTAACTTATTGTTTTGGTCCAACTTCCCACAATAAACCCACCATATTGTGCAAGCTCATGACTAAACAGCACACGGACAAAGTTAGCAACCAGCTGTTGAACATAGTGCCAAGTAAAGTCAGATATAAAAAAAAGTGTCAAGGTCAGGTGACAAAATTCCACTGGTTCTACTAATAATGTTTCTCTGTTTCTTCTTCATGGATAAATAGGCAACCGTTTGCTAACATGTTAACCAAAGACATATTGTCAGTTTGTTCTGATGCCCCCTAGTGGGCCCCAGAAATGAATTATTGCTGCTTGCACATTTTCTTGTAGTTTTTATTGTGGTATTATTGTGTTTTTAAAGTCTTTGTACTTACTGTATATCTACTTTGAGGCTCACAACCAAATAATTATTGTCATAGACATTAGACCTCCTGACAATAATTTTTACATGCCTACCACCAATTCCCTCATGTTGTGGTAGAATATGGTGGAAAAAGACCTTTCAGCACTGTCACAAGTTCTATTAAATGGCGTTTATTAATGATTTTGTTTGTTTTTTAATCAAAGAATTGGTATTGTGGGTTTTTCTGCTATGGTGGCTCACCTCACGGTGATCAGTAACCAGAGTAGACAGTTTCCCATCGTGTTACTGCCTGGCCATGTGCACGGCAATAAATGAATACGTTTGCTCGACCATGAAGAGCAGCAAGAACCAAGAAAGAGACGTCAGAGGTTTTTTTTTCTTTTTTCGGTTAGAAGAGGAAAGTGGATTTGACAGCCAAAGGGAGGGAGGGGAATAAGGGAGAAGAGCGCTGTTACCTAATACTGCTGATGGAAGTTTAGAAAGGAGAGAGGAGAGGAGAGGAGAGGAGAGAGATGGTCAGAAGGAGAGGGAAAAACAGAAACAACTGGGAGGAATGAAGGAAAGTTGAGGGCGCAAACAGAAAGAAATGTCAAATACTCGCCAAAATGGGAGGGACAGAAAGAGAGAGAGATTTTATGGAAAGAAAAGCAGAAATGGGAATGGGAGGGGTTTTGGAGCAAACAGTCAGACATGGGGATAGACAGAAAAAAAGGGAGGGAGAGAGGATGGTAATCCAAATCTGCCGCCAGGAGCAAATGCAGACTCCATCCTGTGAAAGTGAGAAAAGAGGAAGGGTAGAGAATTATAGAGAGAGAGATATGAGGTGGGGAAGAGATCAGTGAAAGAATTATCTATATCCTGGAGTGTGTGTGTGTGTGTGTACGTAGCCTCGATATAAAATATTTGTGTGCATGTGTTTGTCCATGTATGTGAATGGAGGCATGATTCATTCGTTTCTTAGTATTCCAAACACACTCTGAAAGCACAAGGTGTGCTTGACTTTGAATTACAGCTATATAGGTATAAAATTGGATATATGATTGAAAGTGAAAAAATACCCAGTATTCGAGCAGAAGTAAAAAACATGACAATGAATTCATGAAGACGCAGCAGAGAAAAAAAGTGACTCAGACATCCCTCCGGTCGAGCTCATCTGGGGCGATTCATCTGCAGTCAAGCAAACTTTAACCACGCATACATGCCACCAGCAAGTCTGCAAGCCATCTGACACAAGTCCATTCAGGAGAGGACATTTCCTCTTTTTTGTTGTTTATCAGTGTAGAAATGTTGGCTACAGTTGAATTTCAGACTGAGATTGTCAAGCGGTTAGTCACATACTACCCATTAGAGCCCCATTAGAGCTTTGATCAGGCCCAGAAAATCAGGCCTGACCCTAGGCCAAAAAATTGTTTATTACAAGCTACTTTTCCAACTTTGTGCACATAATATAGTGCAAATGATATTAAAAATTAATAAATAACAAATCCACTCGTT